ACATCTATACCAGAGGACAAGAGAAGTCACGTTATCTGAGCAATTTACTCTCCAGAAACGTATATAATCTGGAAGGAATTTCTCCGGCTTTCAAAAATCTGCCAGATTTCGGAGGTTGCGGACAACGTTGCACACACCACGGATTTCGAACCAACGTTGGATCATATTGCGCCTTACGCAACGCTTACAAATTGAAACGTTGGGTAGCTATACGAAATAGCAGTAATTCGAGCTACGATAGTCTTCCTTCAGAAAATTGCAGCGAAACCGACGTCGAGAGCGAAAAAACAAACAGCGGAAATTTTTCAATTAAGTTTAAAAATCAGAAAAACGATATATTTCGCAACATCGAGGCGTGGAGAAAAAATATCGTGACAGAAAAGGCGAACCAAAACGAGGACGAACAAGCGACAGCCGAAGAGAAAAAAGATCTTCCAAAATTCGACTCGACAACTGATAGAGATAAAACTAACACTAGCGTTTCGCAAACGTCTAGTATTTTTGAGAACTCTACAACGCACGTATTGGCAAAAGAGGTAAATTCTGAACATTCTACGCATACATTTCCTCTCTCACGCTCACCTACGCCGAAAAATGAATTCACTGGAAGTTTTAAACGCCTTACATCATCTCAGTGTCCGACATGCGGGGGTCTATCCTGCCGACCGACTGCCTAGGGTGTGGACGAGGTCGACCGCTATTGTCGCTAACACAGACGATCACGATCGACCTGGCCAGCACTGGGTCGCCTTTTACATCGACGAATGCGGTACAGGAACATATTTCGATAGCTACGGCTTGCCGCCCTTGGACTCAAGATTCCTCTTACGACTTCGCCGAAACTCCACCACGTATCGCTGGAATACGACGACGCTGCAAGGAATACTTTCTCAAACTTGCGAACAATACTGCTGTGTATTTCTATATTTTATGTGTAATGGTTATAATCTTCCAGCCAGTTTCTTAGTCTGTTTACCTCTGATTATAAACGCAATGATCGATTGATTGCACAGTTATTTCATAAATTTTTTCTTCATTGTAAACGTAAAACAAATAATTCTCATGCTGTATGCCGTCATGTTCAATCGTCTACTGTTTTAAAAAGTAAAATATAAAATAAACGATTATTCTCGCGAAAGAACTATTTTATGTAACAACGTTGTTTTATCAATAAACAACTTTTTTTTTCAATTTTATCACTATACGCCACGTCTATTATTTTCTTAATCATTTTCTCGTTCCCTTCCAATCGACATCTTCTTTTATCATATTTTTTTGTGAGAACTAAATTAATAAAAACTTTTGTCATTTTTCGAAATAAGACTAACGCTAACATAAAGTGTAAAAAAATTTATCCACTAAACCGAGTAAATCATCCCAGCTCTGCTACAATCAGGCACGAACTTGCTCATTCCTGTTTTTCCTCCTGTCCTTCCAGGCAAAAAAAAAATCGGTCACACATCATTAAATAATAGAAAAAAATAAGCGATAAAGGAAGACTCTCTTCATTGTGTGTCTAACCAGGACGCCGAGGTTCGAAAAAACGAAGGGCCGTAAATCATATCCGCATTCCTCTTCGAAGCCTGAATCTTTCCCCTTTTTTCCCCCTGACAAAAACCTGTCTCGGGGACCTATTGTCTCCACCTTCATCATTTTCTCGGACTTGGCGGCTTTTTATTTTCACTTTCACTCTCTCTCTCTCTCTCACTCAACGCGCCCTCTCCCTCACCATTCGTAGCGCAGTTAGCCATGGAGCGAACCAATCGTAGCGTGGGCAGCTATGGAGCGAACCAATCGAAACGCGCCATTTACCTCATTACTCCATCCTCGTGTCACCAAGCAGCCAGAGCGCTCCCTTTTTCCAGACAGGCCCTTTTAGTCGTCTAGGAGGGAGTGGGGGGATTTGTTTTGACGTCTAGGGGGGAAGAGGGGGTTTATTTTGACGTTTAGGGGGGGAAGAGGGGATTTGCTTTTGACGCTAGGGGTGGAGTGGTGGGGGTTTGTTTTGGCGCCAGGGGTGGAGTGGTGGGGGTTTGTTTTGACGCTCCGTGGCTGCCCATATACTACTAGCATAGATTCTTGTATGCAAATAACGTTGAATTCTTTAGCAAGAGATGTCAAAGAAGCTTGATTGCCTCTGGCTCCTCTGCAGTTCCACTGATTAACCCTAAGGTGAGGCCCAGATTTTTTACCAGAGATCATAGTATCGACCTGTGATGCACTACTATGAATACAAGAAGTTGAAATTATATCGGAAGGGGAAGAAGAAATGTTTGATTGTAACATTTTAGTTCCGAAAATTACCACGCTGATAATCAAGAGGTGAGGGCGGAAATTCTTGACTATTTGGATGAACCGAATCATACTGAGATGGTCGTTCTTCATATCGATTGTAGGGAGGGTAAGAGTTATTGTCATATGCGTTAAATCTCGAATTATTATTAGAATTGGTGAACCTCTGAATAAATGATATAATGTTAAATAAAGTGGCAAAATCATGATTGCGGAAACAGCGAACAGCTTCGGAGATTAAGTCCATTAGGTCCGGAATGAAATCAAAAAAATCAAAACCATTAGACCCCCAAAGCCACGCTGAGGAGGGGGAGCATATTGATAAGCCGTACCTCTGATATATGCCCGTTCTTGCGAATCCTGATAGTTGTTAAGCACCTCTTGATGCGCCCTTTTGTCATATTCAGGATTATCCGGGAATCTGCTGTTGGAATTTTGGTTGATCTGCGATTTCTGAGATGGACGATACCTGTTCGTGTTGTTTTGCGAAGGGTTGAGTTGCGCGTGATGATGAGCCATTCGTGATCCAGGCGCTTCTGCATGTGACATGCGTCCGTGACCCGGGTCCTCCCTGTCTAGGATGTTAAAAGAATTAGGGCTTTCGTAACTAAGTGGTGAAAAATCAGAAGAGCCAGAAGAATTATAGCGAGTATTGGCACACAAACGCGGAAATTCTTAAGAATTCAATATGTTGGCATATCGAGAAGAAGATCCACTCTGATCGCCGATAATCCTTCTGGCGTCCGCAATAGAGATATTTTCAATGGCAGCCAACTTGATAATATTATCCTGCCTGGAAACAACTGGGCATTCCTTGGATGTAGAAAGGTGCGAGCCTTTACAATTGATACAGAAGACATCGACTTCAGCCCCTTTACATGGTTCCTCTTCATTATGTACATTGTTCCCGCAGTAAAGGCATCTTGGCGAACCCTTGCAAACCTTCGCCACATGTCCAGCCCTGTAGCACTTAAAACATATGCGCGACTTAGGTATAAAAGGACGTACCTCGTGCCTAGTTTTGAATAAAAAGACCACCCTGGGAAGCACCTGGCCAGCAAACTTGATACGATGAATCCTGGAAGGTACATACTCACTCTTGTTGTTGATTGTGATCCTTCTATTAAACCTAAATATCTCCAGTATTTTAATGCCAGGGAATTTTATATTCCTGCGAATGTAATCCAGTTGCAATTCTGTGGGTACATCCTGAATAACACCCTCTCTAAGTACCCGGAATGCGGGAATAAAAGCTTTAAGGTTAGGTTTAGTAAAAGCAGGGTTATCGACCAGCCTGTTCGCTGCGGTTGCAGACTTGGCCTCAATGAGAATTTTCCCACGCCCTATTTTCTTAATCTCTTGAATGTCTGGAATACCAGACTTGGCAACGATGCTTGAAATTACAATTGGATGCATCGATTTCTCACGGTTCATATCGTAAACGTAAACAGCATAATAACCTCTGTCCTGTGGGCAGTATTTGGAAAATTTTTTTTAATTTGCGTAAATGATGTCAGAGGAATCTTGACTGTTAGCAGAAGATCTCTTTGGGGGGGAGATCGAGTCTTGACTTTGAACCTCCGCCTCTTCCAGCGAAGGGCGCTTCCTCGTGTTCGTAATATCGTCAATTTCCATAGGCGAATCTAAAGTAGAGGCCAGATTGCGTGATCCAGAAGAAATTGTCATTGTTGACGACGAGGACACCTCTGTGAAGATGGCACCTCATTTTTCAAAAAATGAAATTTTGGTCACAGTTCCGAATGCACCCCGAAGAGTTCTGGAGTTCTTGCCCAAAATTAAGAATAGTTCCGGTGATTTAATGTAAAAAAAAATAAAAAAAAGGGGTGCTAACTTCACAAAACGCGGAACGAAAAATCGCGATATCTTCTAAACTATTAGTCCTAGCGCTTAAAATAATAATAACTTTCGATAGAGCTCTTGGGATACTATCCAGAACTGTCAACAAAACTGCCACAGTGTTAAAAAATTTTTTGTCCCTCAGATGTGATCTGACATTGAAAAAATCGCGATATCTCTTAAACCGTTGATCGTAGCGCTTCGAGCATTAATAACTTTCGTCAGAACTCGCGGGGTGCTACCCAGAACTGTTCTCAGAATAGCCAGAACTCTTAAAAAACTTTTACCCCCCAGGTGTTAGAAATTTTTCGATGTGACAAACGAAAAATCGCGATATCTTTTAAACCGTTGGTCGTAGCGCTTCGAGCATTAATAACTTTCGTCAGAACTCGCGGGGTGCTACCCAGAACTGTCGACAGAATTGCCAGAACTTTAAAAAAATTTTTGCGCCTCGGGTGTTAGAATTTATTCGGACTACGAAAAATCATGTCTGTATTTCCGTGCTTTCGAAACTTCCTTGCTATTCCAAATCGTCACGGATGTGTGCGCGCGCGCGTGCTTATGCATTCATGTGTGTCCTGCTCTTGGCCTGACCCAGAATCAACGACTTGGACGTGGCAGGTGTCTGATTCCGTGCGTGCGTGTGTGTGTGTGTGTTCGTTCGTGCGCGCGCGTAATGTCAGTTAAAAAATTTTTTTTTCAGTGCAGTTTTTTTAAATTTTTAAGAAATTTTTTTCAGTGTAATTTTTTCATTGTATTTTTTTTCATTGTAGTTTTGCCTAGTGGCTGTTATGTACGTATATTATTAAATGTGGTGCCACTTGTTCGTCATCTGATACTATTCTTCGTTTAATAACCATATCATCATATAAGTACCAACCGGACGTATCATAAACGTATGCTGTATAATGTCCGTCGTTTTTATTACTGGCATATTGATGATATGATACTGCACCAGCTATAGCATAGTTCTGTTCTTTTATCTTTAATATTTTAGGTATAGAACCAAGTGTCGCGTTCCTTTTTTTAATACCAATTGAAGCAGCACATCGTTCGTCCGTGAATACACTGCAATCTATAAGTAAGTGCGATTGAAAATTATATTTTTCACTTGCACTTTCTTGGCACTTTTTGCGAATTCTTGTCGCGGTTGGTGTCGAGTATAGCGTTTTGTAATTCTAAGAGACCGTTTTGTAAAATCATATTGACGTTAATATCAGGAACGGGAAGTAACTCGTTACTTGTAACGAAGTTACAGTTAGAGTTACTTTTTTTCAGTAACTGTAACTTAACTTCATTACTTTCTTTCCATCTGCAACTATAATTTAACTTAGTTACATCTTTTAAGTAACTAGTAACTAATTTAATAGTTACTTTTATAGTTATTTTATATATTTTAAACTTATTTGTCAATTTAGTGTGCGGTAGTGTCTACTTGGCGCTACAAATACTTCGAAACATTTTATTAATCAGAAGAAAGAAATTTAATTAAAGCATTCAATGAACTATTGTACCTGTTTGGTCTATATTTTGGGATCTAATGGAATCCGCCAAATGCAAGAGCGCTCCGCTTGAACGGTTGTACACCATTTTGGATTAGTGCTGGAATTTATTTGCAACTTTTAGCCGAATATAAAAAGAATTTTTTTTACAAAAAACATTGTATATGTGTGCTATTTCATATTCATATTTATATTCATACGTGTTTATATTACTTTAACGAAAAACGTCTTTGCCATATAATTTTTTTATCTTTTTGAAGAAAATTGTATAACATGTAAATGTAAGCCAGTCTTTTGTTTTAATTGTCCTAGGCTGCATTACTCTGATGACCCCGTGTATCATTCTTGTTTAATATTAGGTGAAAAACAAGGGTAAAACGATACATGAAGGCAGAGTTGTATAACGTTTCTGAATACAGCCCTAATGGTATCGATACTACTAGTAAAAATTCCGATGAAAAAAGTAACTTAAAAGTAACTTAAAGTTACTTTTTCAGTAACTGTAACTGTAACGAATTACTTTTCAGAGTCAATAACTTGTAACTGTAATTAATTACTTTTTAAAACAGAAAAACTGTAACTGTAATTAATTACTTTTACAAAGTAACTTTCCCATCCCTGGTTAATATTGATCACTGGTATTTTCCTCAAACTTTCGTGATTGCAGTGATAACAATTTTTGCTTATAATTAGGCTAGGAAAATCTATGAATAAGTGTTCCGCTAGATGAGCGACGTTGCAATTCGTATTTAAATACATAACGTTTGCTCGATAAGGTTTAACTTCGAAAATTGATACATCGACAAGAATATTCGCACGTACTTGATAAATATTTCTTGTTATCTTGTTACTGTTTATCATTGTAATTTTTTTTTTGCGAAATTACAAAAAGTGTTATTTTGATTAATAACAATATTATCATATTTCGTTAGTTACTAATGCATTAGTTATGATTTAAGTTAACGAATCGAACGCACAAGTCTCGCGAACCACGATGAAGTTATCACCGTAACGAGATGCTTTAAGCAAACTGCCATTTTTTAATACGGGTACGGTAATTCTTTGTAAAGTTCCCATGCTATCCCATTGTGGACAATCGTCGAGGTAAGTCAATTTTCGCTTTTTTTTAATTCTAGATCAATTTGATCAACGTTTGACTTTCTTTTAGCGATTAAACCTCGCCAATTTTCCTCAACGTTCCACATATTTTCTTTATTTTCTGTATCCTGTATTTTGCATGCTGTACTTTCGTTAGCGGCCGCTAATAAAGTTTTGCCCTGAAGAAAATCGACATGTTTGATGATGAATTTATCAATTCGTAGTGGTAATTCACCTCTAAATAATCTATGTTTCAGGTCTGCGAATGTTGCTTCGACTGCTGAGGATGTAGCCACTATTTTATTACACTGAAAATGAGAGCGCATAATACCTGTCCACAAGGGTAAATAGGAAATTAAATTTTTCAATTTTAGTGCGATTTGTGGATTATAGAATGCATTTACCACAGAACCTGA